ATAATTTCGAGATTTCGAACTTCAGCTGTATTGCGATGCACAGTCTCCTTCGCTTAGAATCAAATCGGAGCGTCAGAATATTAGTCTGGCATTTATAGCCCGTCATTATTTCACAAATGATCATTACTTTATGAATCTCTGATTATTCATCGCTATTTCGCACGAAAAATATCTGCGATACAAAACAGCAAAATAATCGTGTGCGAAAAGAAATCTGTAATTAGTTATTATTTCAAAAATTGCAAATAACTCTTAAGACTATAAATACCATCGGGAAAGAAAAGAAAGTGCAGGAAGTGCGCGGTAAAAGAAGGAGCTCTGAGTTTTCAGAATTCAACGGCGTCTTTCTGAATTTAACTCAAAGACTCTAATATCCTATTAAAATACAAATAAAATACGGATACGGAAGTATAAGAACAAGAAATAAAATTATTCCAAAGTTGGACTCTTCGTCGAATTCTCTTGTTAAGTCGCGTTTAATTCCTATGAATATCTTAGTCGCACTTTGAACGTAATCTTTCGTTTAGATCTCTCTTATATATTTCATTTAGATTTTTCTATAATTCTATTTAGATCTCCATTACTTTATTATGCATATTTTTCTCTCATTATATGTAACTGCGCAACCTTATTAATACCGGCTCGCAAAATTAAATTTTTCTACGTCGGAAAACGCCTTTGAGTAGCATCCTTAGTTAAGGGGCGCATTTCGAGCTCGACGGGACCTTGCTCGAGCGGCGAATGTAGATCTCGCCGTTGCACTCATTGGCCTAGTTCGGGACGTACAATTGATCCGCATACCGGGCACCGGCTTCATGACGAATTGCACTTCAATTCTATATCGTATCGGACAGCCGCGAGCGGAGTCTCGCGTGCCGCGAAGTACAACACACGTCGCGCCCTCCATTACTCTACCGTACTATGAAAAATGGACTGCCGCATTATCGGTGTTTTTTGATCAGCCAGTTTTTACGCTCGCGAAAATACGCGGTAGATTTGCTCCTTCTCCCTTTTTCCCTCCCTCTTTTTTTCGTGAACGAATGAAGTTGCATGAAAGTTGCATCGTCACGCAAACAAAGCTTTCAACCTTTGCTAAATATTAACTACAAAAAAGTCACGCGACACACCCGCTGAGAAGCAAATGCATCTCGCGTTTATATTAAACTTTAATACATGAGTCAGCGACTTATACGCTAAAAAAGTGGATATGATTCTCAGGCACTTTCAAACAAATTAATAAGGAGAATCGAAAAATGGTTCTCTGAAGTTGCTGAGGAAAGGCAATCTTTTTTCTTATAATATAGCCACAGTTCTTATAATATATAATATTCACTTATATCTTCATATACAGTTGCTTCAACCAAAAGAATATCGCCACTTTTCTGTTGTGATTTAAAGAACGAATATTATGATTGAGAGACCCATAGTATTCGACTGCGCTATACAGTACTAATAGTTCCGTTCAAACACATACACGAAGAGAATATTATAGCTTTTATTATTATAGCCTTTCTTATTTTTTAGAATATTATAGCTTTCCATATAATTTCTTTTCAATTTTACTATATGTTTTTAGTAGTCTGGGAATAAACTGTCAGTAAAGTCTACCTTACTAAGGAATATAGTTAATTTCACTAGAAAATCAAACATGGAAAATGTTTTATATTATAATAGCATATTTCAAATCCTTAAATATAAATAGCACGTATAAAATGAAAGGATAGGATAAATTGCTACAGAATATCGATCTATTTCTCAATGTGTTACAAAATCCTACAGTAACTTTTACTATAAAATTCTCTCCGTGTACAGATAGGTAACAAAGAAAGCCAGTAGTACCACTTTCGAAGTACTATAGTCTACCCTATGTACAATCTTTTATGTATACATGGACGAAAAATAATAATAACATTTAGTTACGGCAATATTTAGCCAAGTGATATCCCTAGTGCCTTCTCCGTGCACGTTAACGAATTCAACGATCCGCGAGGCCTATCGGGACTAACCATCTCTCGTTTTACCATTTTATGTGATACAGAAAAGTATTCCCGGTCGTGTCGCAACGCCTGTCGCGAAATGACACGGGTTCGTGGCGACGAGTTTTTATGCGCGAGCAAGAAAAAAGCTGCCTGTATATCGGAAGGAATGCAGACTCATCTTACACGTGTCGGCGACCCTCTCTTTTCTACCTCTTTCTCTCTATTTGCTTCGTCTTGTCTCGAAGGGTACAATCTGGGCCACGATATTTAAATTTCATATTTTCACATTTTGACCGTTACGACACAGTAGCGCGCAATCATATCTCCAACTGCGAGCGTGTACACAACTCCGCGCAATTGAACGAGAGTCACGCCTCTCATTCCCGCCTCACAGCCGGCTCCGATGTTTAAGTGATCACCGTGTGCATTCGCACAGCTATTGACCCCGGGGTGGCTGCTTCGCGCGACAATGTATATGGAATTGATAATACACGTCTCGTATTTACTAGGCGCGTCGCGAATCGCCATAACGACAATCGTTATGATTTCGATGAAACGTCCCGATTCGTCGGTGGCCCAGTGAGATTAACACGACGGATATCGATAACGTCTCTCGCATCTCCTCGCGTCAAGTCTCCACTGTAATTATGACATTCATCTTCAATTCGGCATTTATACTTCGACACCCTCAAGAGTGCGTAATGTCAACAAGTCATAAATACATAAGCATTGTCGAGTAATTATTTTCCTTGATAACAGAATTCAAATCGGATTATTGATAACATAATTAACATAATTAACTTTTCAGTGGTGATTTAAAATAACTGCACGATTCCTCTCGAGGAAAATTTTCTCTTTTTTCCTTATAAACATATATATATATATATATATCTCTAGAGAGATCTATCTTCTCTTTATTGCTATATTTTTAAATAACTTCGAAAAATAGAATGCAAAATATATCTAATTTATATTTGCTATAAATTTAAAAAAATAGCTTAAATAAATCAAAAGAGATTTATTATTTCATCATAAAACTTTCCCGAGCACTACTTAAAAGATTAAAGTTTCATTATTTAGATATTTTTACACATGAGAGTATTTGAGACCATTTCACTAAATTTTATGAAAATTGTAAGATAGATCTTTTCGGGACTATATTCGAGGCTCAGTCAATTGTTCTCAGCGGTTGCAGCTAAATTTTAATACAGCTGAATGTTCAGACCATAGATATGTAGAATAGGCCGCGCATTGCTGTAAGAGGGTTGAAGTCAGCATTATCAGAGGGCAGTAGAGAGTAAGATGCTTTTATTGTCTAATTGTCTAGTTGATGAAGACAATGAAGGAGAAGAGCGATTACATGATTAATGCGTCCTCTCTTTCTTCTACCATGTTTCATTCCCTCTTTTGTTTCTTTTACATCGTTCCCTCCTAGAGTAATGTGTGACGAAGAAAGAATTTGACTTAGCGCATATCTCTGTCCTTTAATCTTATCATCAGCCGTATTCTAGCAGTGCGCAGTCTATTCTGTAAATATACATGGAGAAAACTGTTTAGTTATATTAACATGAAATTTATCGTTTTAATGAACAAAATTTTTATTTCATGATGAAATAATAAATTCCTTTTGATTTACTTAAGCTATTTTCTTTTAATTCATAGCAAATATAAATTAAATATATTTTGCATTTTATTTTTCAAAGTTATTTCCTAGAAGTTTGGCTCGTAAGAACCAGAGATTCTGCGTCCTTCGACCAAAGTGGTTGGTTTCGTATATTCATGCCAAGCTTCGCGTTGATACAACACAATATTTTTCCCGTGTATGATTCAGACGAATGGTTCCGGTGACGCGGAGATATCACTTCACGTCGCCGAATTGTTCTCTCTGCTCCTTAATAAATTGTACGAACTGAGATTCTTCTCCCGTGAACGTTAACTAAACGCGAATGCACGTGCATACGTGAATCCGGAAACGTTGTTTGGCAAATCCCAGACGAGAGATTATTCAAGAGCACCGGATTCATCTATTCCCGACTCCGGCCGACAGAGTGAGGAGGAGGGGGTGACTTATCGGCATTTCGACGTGCTCGTTATCGTCGATAAACGGCCGGTCCGTGCAACGGATCGCACGAGACCCCGTACGCCTCGGCAACGCTTTATTTATAAGTCATTCGCGGCGCCGTTTGAAGAGGTTTAGTCGCGTGTCGACGGCGCTTTCCGGTACGTGATTATTTTATGCTGTCAGACATCGTACCCGATTATATCTCGGCGAGCGCGATAATCCCGCGCGCACACGGCGCACTAGCTGTCTGACATTTTGTTTGCCGACTTACCGTGCCTGTGCGCTCGGTGCGATGACGGATTAATGGAGCGGTAACGCTTTGATAAGAAAAGAATCCGTTTTACATAGAGAGCCGGTAAATATGTTGCGCGGCGCGCGACCACCGGAAGTTATTCCGATCACTCGTGGTGCGCGGAGAAAAGGTTACATCACTCTAATTGGGTGACGGTGCAGTTTCCGTCGGCAACTAAAAGCGCAGGCTTAACAGGTCGCATTACGTGTCGTACGCGTGATATATTGTGTGAACCGCGACATTTATCCCCTCGCACACAGCATCCACGTCGCATTAACAAATTAATCAATTGATCGCTCGCGAGAAACACAAGGAGGATTTCCTTTTTCGATGTTTGTGTACGAAAAAAGAGAATGCTTGTGTCAACCAAGAAACAGTAAAATATGATGTAGCTTTTATTGGTAGCTTCAGTAACCAATTATTGATTATGTTAATTTATGCAACATTATACATTAACATTGCGAATCGTTGCCCGAAAAAAAAATGCATTTTTGAGGCAACGATGATCAGCGCGACCCAGAACTGATTCTTAAAGCCAGAAAAAAAGCTATGCCATATTATAGTATTTTTCTAGTTGATGCAATCATTCTTTTTTGCAAAACATTGTTTTTCAAGATTTTAATTGCGTCTCTATTTATAGCGGGTGCTCCTTTCTTCTATTTTACAGACGCGGTGCAATCGACGAAGAGTCACCCTCTTACGCGAAACAGCCGTCAGCGGATGCACGAGCAGGCCCGTCGAGGGTGTCGTCGGAGGAGAGCTCCGACAGCGGCGAGATCCAGGAGATACGCAAGGACAGCGCGCTCTACCTCGAAGAGGCCGAAGGGCCGAACGTGAAGAAGACTGCCCGATCGCGTCCACCGGGTATCTTTCGGAAGGCTCGGCGGGAGAGCAGCGGCTACGCGACCAGTGTGGGTAGCTTGGACGAGGAGAGGAAGGGTAGCGTCTCGTCGACGAGCGACGCGCAGCAGCAGCAGCAGCAGCAGGACTCGCCCCAGTCCCAGTCCCCGTCCCAGTCCCAGTCCCAGTCGTTGAAGGAGAAGCGCAGGCTAATCACGAGGATACCCAGGGCGGAAGAGAGCCTTGGCGAGAAGGCGTCGATCGGCACATCGGAGAGGATGCCGACGACAGAGATACACAGGAAGGTGTCGAGCGCCGGCCTCGATATGCCCGACATCGAGGAGGTGAAGGAGGTCCTGAGGGAAGAGACCTCACCTCGTAGTAGGGACGCGGAGACGGCGGGAGCCGGTAAGTAAACCGCGTCACACTATCCAGCGAACCCGGCGTTGCCGTCCCGAAGTTGTATTTGATAGTGCCGTAATAGAGCGCAGATTCCCAAAATTGGACGGCGACCCTTGAGGAGAAACAGGGGGGAACGAGGGGGTAATGGAAGGGTTCCTCCGGAGAGAGAAACGTATCCCGAGCGAGAAAATTCGTGAGCCCCGACGGCGACGTAATCGCATAATCGTTTAGCCATCGCAAAAATCGCTGTACTATACCACTTACACCGTATATATGTATATGTATGTATAGATAACGTTTGCCCCCCCTTTTTCACGAAGAATAACGACGGCAAGTTGTCGTGCGTTTTCTCCGCAGCTAGTTTCGCTAGATTTCGTCAACGTTACGCCCCCCATAATGTCTGTGAACTGCACAAATTTTTGCATCTAACTGCCACCACAAGCGAGAAAAAGAGAGAGAAAGGGAAAAGGGAAAGAGAGAGAGAGAGAGAGAGAGAGAGAGAGAGAGAGAATGAGGGAGAGAAAGAAAAAGAGAGGGAGAGAAAGAGAGAAAGAGATCGAAGTTAAAGCCAGATTGAAACAAAGCGGAAACTAAATAGATCCGTTAGGAGATAGAGGTAACGGCGAAGTTTCCTAAGTTTTTCCTTTTATATGCCCGTAACCAGACCACTTATCAGCGCAGTCCCGGCTCCCGAGGGAGGCGGCTAATCAGACGCTCGCTGTGAAAAGCGACGTTGCCTCCGGCGTCGTTTCTTCTTCGGCGTGCCACGACAGCCTCCCGAAGGAGTCACTCGACACCAGCAGTCTGAAGGAGGCGCTCCACCGTATCTCCTGCGAAACGAATCGCAGGCTGGACACGTCGGTGGTCGGTCCGGATGACGGGAAGATCCGGAAGGCGTCACCGGTGGGATCCCGCAGGGATCCACCGTGCTCCGTAGAGCATGCAACGGCTGAGATCGTAGAGAGGAAGGATGAGAAGGTGGCGTGTACCAACGACGGCACTCCGCCGAGAAATGTCGAAGCGTCCAAAGGCGAGAGGACGCCCCTCGTCGTCGCGTCGTCCTCGTCGACCTCGTCAACGTCCACTAAGACGTCGATCAAGGTGTATCAGCTGCTGGCGACCCAATCGGAGGATCGCAATGATGGCGAGCCGCATCTACCAGATCGCAGGATATCCCTGCAGATCGCCGGTTCGCGAGAGGCCGAGCTGACGAGCAACAACACCGTGGCCCCGGGTGGGTTCGTGAGCAACAGAAGGTGCGAGGGCACGTCGGCCGCAGGGAGTCCTGCCACGAAGACGTTGTCATCTGGCGAGATCGGGCCGCACCGGTACCTCGGAGACGCCGGCAGCGTCACTGTCAGGCCCATTTACCCTTACTGCCCGTACTCGCCCTATGGCAGTCCTCAGGGCTCGCCTAGAAATCGCAGGAGGCCTCTCAGGGAGAGCAGAAGGGTGTCCATCGATAACCGGCAAGGCGACATTAAGCTGAATCAGTACAAGCTGTTGGATGACATCGGACAGGTGAGACTGAGCTTGAAAAATTCGAGAGAAAAGAAGGTATTTCCGCGCCTAGGCACCAGCCCTCCCTGCGTTCGTTTCATTTCGCCATGGTTGTTGTTACTATACCATCTTGTATGCATGGTCGAAAAATAACATTCATATTTTGTAGTAGCAACCATATCTAGACAAGCGATATTCTTAGCGTTTTCTCCGTGAAAAAATATGAATTTCGAGCGAGACACAAGTGAAAGGCGGAAAGTGTGGAATATTCGTCGATATATATTACTCATTTTACAGTTATTCAATAACGGCACGAGACCTCAATTATCACGGCTGCAAGCGCCAATCCCACACACCCCACAGACTTGGCAATAAACGGCGAATTTAGACTTCACAAATAGGCAATCCCTTTGACCGGGCGGAAAATATCGGCTGAAATATCTCGCGCTGGACCAATTTCGCGGGCGCATAGTTTACGTATCGGACGGCCGAAGGCTTTCCAATTACGCCCGCGGTGTTTTAACAATCGCGCGCTGCACTCGATAAGGTCGACCGACATATTGCATCCTCGGAAACGCCAAAAACCATTTTGCGGCGTATCGGACGGCTCGTATCCAATGATACGATTATCGACGTCGAGAGAGCACCGTGAGAGCTTCCTCGCGCGATAACCTCGATATAACGCGAGTCATCCTTGCCGGCAATTTTCACCGCCGCGCCTCCGTTTCGCGCGCGCCCTATTAAGAAGTAATTAACAGGCCCGCGATTATGGATCATTGTCGGTAATCGTGTTATAATGCGCCAAGTAACGCGATATCAGCCGCGGCGACGGAAATTCAAGCTCTAAACCATTAAAATCCCCCTCCCCCTCCCCTCGCCCTCTTATGCACGCAAGAAAAAGATCATCAGAAGAACCTAGGATGCAATCATGGCGGCGAAGACGTTTCTTCGAAACAAAAACAACTACGATATTCATGGTCCGATCTTATATTTAAGATCGTGCAAACTAGGTATAAATTACATAATCAAACTCTCTAAGGTCTATATTAATAGTTGTCCCCTAAAACTCGTCTCATGTAAGATAAGAGACCGGGAAAGATGTTGCACTTTTCAGAATTTCGAGCTACAACTCTTCAGATAACCAATTGTTGTGATCGACTGTACAGATATACGATAGAGACAATTTTTCTTTCTCTATGTTTTTGTGCCAGCAATGATTCTGTTAACCATCTATTTCGTTCTGCAATAACCAAGAAGACACTTGTACAAACTTTTTCTTTTATTTTCGAAAATCTTGGCAAATATTGTCGATTAACTATCGTAAATGACTGTAGTTAAAATTCAAGGCCACCGCCTTAAAACCGCATAAATTTCGTCTGAATCATGTTTATTTGCCGAGCTCAGGTTTCGAGATATTTAGCACGCTTGTATAATATGGAAGGTACCCTGTGTGTATATAATGTATATAAGACTGAACTGCATATGAATACAGTCGCTAATGCCATTGCCGGCGAAGCTCAATCTATATTTCATTTCATGTTTTATTTATTTTTAATCCATCATACTAATTACACTCCGTTGATACAGGTGTACGATAAGAGCTTAGGAATGTGTGGCTGCTACTTTCTTGGCCAGCCGTGTGCTAATGTGCGTTTTCAGCTGATAAAATTTTACCTCGCGATGCATTTATATCCGTAATAGCCAACTCTTTGCAATAACAGCGAAACGGTTAGCGGCCCAGCTGAGTTCGAATCGACTGCTAAGATTTAACTGGCAGCCACTGAGCTATTCTTTTCCGCGCGCAGTTCTTCTCGTTCCGAAGCCGACTTACGGTATTCACATGATAAATCGATCGCTCAACCTTCCTTTCTTTCCTCACGGCTGTCCACCGGCTCGGGCGTTAATTCGATGACGCGTTTTCCCAGCTATTGTTTACCGTATGTTGTCTCGTCTAACGAGTTCGACGCTTCTCTCACGGGGGGGGGGAGGGGTTCACGCGGTATTTATCTTCCACCTTCGGCGACTTCTCGTCTATTAGTCTTCCAATTACTTAATCAAAGACTCGGGTGACAGCTTAAATAAGAGCGCTCGATCTTCCTGCCGGCCGAAAGTCAGAGCATGCAACGAGCGCGGCGTTAAGAATTCAGAACGGAGCTGATATTACGTGCTGCGAAACGAAGGTTAAAGGTCACTCGCGTGTTTCGAGAATGGCACGGCGGAGTTTCCTCGCGCATAAACGGCTGCGCTCCGCGCGGATAAAAGCGCGGGAAATCGAGAAAACGAGATTTGTCGGAAAATGAAAATGCCTACGCAACCGATTGGAAATTCGATCGAGCCGGGCAAGAAGAAATACGAAACGAATGGTATAATGGAATGGCGATAACTTCGCGCGTTTACCGCAGCCGATGCTCGCGGAAAGCGAACGAATTGCGAGGCGAACCCGAGTTCATAACCCAAAATCCTAACACTGCTTTCCACCTGAACTTTCTAACATCTGTAGAATCCTGAATGATGTGTGTGTTTAATGCACACAGAAACTAAAAATCTACTTAACGCTTGTATTTACAAATGGCAAAAACACACAAAATGTACTTGTAAGTTCTCAGGAGATGCTCTCGGCGCAGTTAGTAAGTTAAATAGAATCAAAAGAGGTCAATATAGACTTTAGAGTATCAAAAGTATAGGTGTTAAATGAAGATATTGAGGTCAAAAGTGCAATGAAAATTTCGGGGAGTTTATGGATGCGCGTGCGCGATCTCTCGAAGTCTTCGCGGCAGGAAATTCCGGAGATCACTTTTTCCTAGCGAGAACAAAGTACTTTTTTATAAACAAAGTTGTCAATTCACATCCCTACACTCTTTCCTTCCCGCGATATTATCTTCGACGGATAAACAAACGGAGAAACAATGAAAGAGAGAGAGTGAGAGAAAAAGACGGAAGTTCGCGATTCAATTTCTGCCCCCTTATCGCGTCGCTTAAAACTACATTCGAACTCGAGATTGAATTTCTCGTCGAGGTAAGCTATTATGACTGGAATGTTATTACCGATTTAATGTCTGACCGGTTCGAAATCGCGAGATGTTGTTGTATTTATAAACATACTATAGCGTATTGCGTATTACAGCGTATCGACCAGGCGCGATCCGTGTCCGTCAGCATTCGATCTTTACTCACTGCGTAATTACACAGCGAAGTGACGTGAGAGTTCTCGTCGTGATAAAACACGCAAAAAGCAAAAAGCTACACACAGATGACTCACTGTACTGATCACTGTGTTACGTCGGCAGAGCTATTTCTACGCAATGAACTAATTTATATCACGAGAGATAAATGGGTTAACCGTGATGAGTTGAGTAACATCGTGCGTCTGGTTGATACAGACAATTTGGTAACGTAATTATCGGGAAAAGAGTCGAATGTATCCCGAGTCGAAATTTTAATCCTACTTTACTGTTCCATTCAACACTTATTTTGATACTCTGAAACCTACATCAACTTCTTTTGATTCCATTTAACTTACCAAAGTCGAAATTTTTATTCTACTTTCAGTCTCACTATTCCATTCACCACCTATTTTTATATTTTGAAGCCTATAATACAATCTATTTTAACACTAAAGAAAGTGAAAAGGGAAATTTCGGACATTATCAGAGTCAAAGTAGGAATGAATTATTAGAATTAAACCTACTTTGCTAATCTAACCTAACTCCTATCGCGTTATAGAATTCAAGATTTAACATAGAACCAAAATTTCTACATGAGCAGTAGATTATATTAGCGTTTCACGCGCGTAATGACAAATATTTAATCTGCAGGCAAAATTCATCGCCAAAATTAATCGTGCAAAATGCGGTCAATAATGAGATCTCGCGCGATAACAATGAGAACGGTCGCGAATGAAGTGATCAAATGGCGTTTTCGCCGAAATCGGTCGTTTCAATGAGCAGGGAATAATTTTCAAGCGACACACACGCGCGAAGTCGAATTCGCACACAGCCGTGTCCGAAGGTAAACGCGCAATCAAGATATGCGCGTGGGATCTTTCTCATACACACAGAAATCCCCTTCATCGCTAATACTTATCGCAAAATAAACGTCCTCTCCGGCCGGACGTGCTCGAAGGTGATCACACTATGAACTATAAAATTATACTCCCGGTCTGCCGATAGCATCGCCGGTGACCTTCGACCTGGTCGACTACGACGATACAAAGCTGATCTTGATAATGGCGCAGCTGAGCCGCGGAGAGGGCGGTAGTAAGGATGCGAGTAAGGGTGCGGGCAAGAGAGTCACGATACCGTCGATAAAGCACAGTCTGTCTCTATACAGATCGCTTTCGCCCCGGGGGAAACACTTAACAATGTTTTTCCGTATCAATGTCAAGAGACCGCGTTCCGCATGCCATTACCCACGGACGATTTTTCGGAGCCTCGGCCTCTTCGTGGCGCAAGACTCCTGTCTCGAATCGTGTGTGATAATAGAAAAGTGAAAAAACTGTGCGGAATATATAGCAGAGTCTATTAACATAAAAAAAATGCGCTTGCGTTCCGAACGATCTCGATAGCGCACGTTGCCGTGTGTGTGCACCGGAATTATTTTACAATATCAGATTAAAAAATACGACTGCAGTCTGGAAGTATTTGCACGAGTTGATTTCTTGAGGGAGCCTTCTGGTTTATATAAATAAGAGGAATAAAAAATAAGATTCTTACGAATCCTTTTGCAAAAGAATGAGTAAAGATATTAGTGTAGAGTTTCGGCGATACTATTTATCATTGTTTATAGTATCAAAAATTATTTTTCACTTTAAAAAAATAGAAATTTCGTCATCAAGGTTTTTTGTGCCGAGCATGGTGACGCTGGACGCTCCCAACTGACGAGCAACATGATAACTCGTGTAATAATCTGAAACAGATGGGATAAGGAAAGCCTCGGCTATAAGATAGTAGCGCAATAAAATCCAAATCTGCGAACACAGATTTCCACTATTTTGACATTTTCCCGGACCTGTCATAAAAATTGATGAGCGATCGAATATTCGTTCGGATCTCACGGACCCAATATTAATAGCAATAATAAACACACGACAATAACTCTTGTTGCACGTCATTTAGCGTCGGCATGAAATCAATATTATATATCAGTTTTCGTTGAATTAAGAGAACGTCAGTTGTAAAAAATTCAATAGTCGGGGCGAGCCGTGTGAAAAATATCAGACAAGGCGTTCGTACGCCGGCGGCCCGCGAAAGGATTAAAGGTTAAGTCGAATCATAAGCAATCGGGAATTGCACGCAGGGTGGGAAAAATTCAGTCGTCCGCGATCAAAGCACGGGACGTCGATTACTCTCAGCCGCGTCCGCTCACGCGTCACTTCGCGCTTGCATCCAGGGCACCTATGGTCTGGTGAAACTGGTCTACAACGAGGAGGACAGCACCCATTACGCCATGAAGATCTTGAGCAAGAAGAGACTGATGAAGAAGGCGGGAATATTCGGTAGGATAGTGCCCGGCAAGAAGACCGATCCCTTGGCGAGGGTCTACAAGGAGATCGCCCTGCTTAAGAAGGTCGATCACCCCAACGTCGTAAAGCTGATCGAGGTGCTCGACGACTCGGAGGAGGACCATCTCTACTTGGTCTTCGAGCTCCAGCGGGGCGAGATCCTGCAGATACCCACCGACGAGCCTCTGCACGAGAAAACCGCCAGGCGGAATTTCCGCGATGTCGTCATGGGTGTGGAGTACCGTAAGTTATTATTCCTACGTTATTCCGCGGTGAGAAAAAGAAGTGTTTGCGCAGTGAAATAATTGTAGTCGAGAAAACCACTTTTGTAATAGCTACTACTGAGTTAATTTCTTCTTGTTACACTGCGAGAGAAATATTTAATAATTTATTCGCGGGATGCAAAGTTTATTCGCAGAAATAAACTTTATATCTCACAATTAAATTTCCGAGTATTTCTTCTTAGTGTAATTTTGGCTAAGAACTTCACTTCCAAAGACCAGACTACATTATTAACAACCACAACTGTCCTATCGCTACTACAAGATTCTTCTTAGAAAAAAAGGAAGATAATAGCTGTCGAAAGTGACCACAACTTAAGTCAGCCAAGTTTTTCTCTCAGTGTGTTTTTCTCTCGCAAACTTTTCTCAGAGTTTCACGAGTCTCTTATCCTCAAAATTTTCTTTCACTTTTAGAAACTCATTCGAGGATTCTCAATATTCGTCATATTGGTGATTATTAACCGTAAAGTCGCGTTGTTTTTAGATTAGCTTCTATAGAATAGTTGTTTTATCGCGTTAAACCGCGTTCTCGCAAACTCAATAGTAATTCTTATTTTCCTCCGAGACTCGCCGTTCGCAAACAAGTTTCCGCGATTGAAAAAGGAATGAAAGTTTCCAGTATATCCTCATTGAGTCGTATATCGCGGCTGGAATGTGGATCGCATTTCGCGTGCATAGTTAATCGTGTTTATCACTTACGCGCTAATAACAGTAAGCTAACCCCCTCGACAGACGGATTTGCGTAATGTATTTGGCACGTATTACGGATCACGTCGCTCATCACGGATCAATGGTAGAAGAGACGTCACGTACATCATCGTGTTAATATATTTCGTATTACAAAGTACACATCCATCGAGGTCCATTCCATAGATCATGCACGGAGAAAAATATTTGGTTGTATTAACATAAAGCTTGATTTTAATGAATAAACCAACGCGTTTTGATTGGAGGACACAGAATTTCTGTGCATATATGGTTCTTATTACTCAAATTTACTTCTAAGGGAACCAGAAACTTTGTCTCAATCAGAACGCATTTGGTTCATTCATTGTCACATTAATTCAATCAAATTCGGTTTTAAGAACCAGAAATCCTATCTCTTTCAACCAGAACGCATTTGGTTCGTTCATTATCACATTAATTCAATCAAATTCGCTTGCAAGAGCCAGAAATTCTGTCTCTCTCAACCAGAACGCATATGGTTGGTTCACTGTCGCGTTAATTCAATCAAACTTTTTTCTCCGTATAAAATTCACGTCTCTCGCGGACATTGAATTCCGGGTAAAAAATAGCGCTGTCTACGAAATGGGTCTATGCGCGGCTCACGTTGCGTTGTTTGCGCAGTACATTACCAGAGGATAGTGCACCGCGACATAAAGCCGAGCAATCTGCTGGTGGACAACGACGGCCGCATTAAAATCGCCGATTTGGGCGTCAGCGCGGAATTAAGGGCGCCCGGTGAATTATTGTCAGGGGGCGCCGGCACCCCGGCATTCGCGCCGCCCGAAACGACTATTCCTAGCGCTCAATACTCGGGACCGGTAAGTACATTCACGATATAATTATTCCTGCAACCTAATCTGCCGCCGCGCATATGCCGATCGATATTTAACGTCCAATGGAACAGCGATCGAGCATTAATGGATTTGTGTATTCCTAGAGACGTAAATATGTAAACGCGCGTGCAGTCCGCGCGCGCACAGGATTTGTACGGATTACCGAATCTATAAATTGTTGCTCTCTCTTCCTCTCTCTCACTTTCTCTCTCTCTCTCTCTCTCTCTCTCTCTCTGTGTATGTGTGTATGGTAGGCCACTTGGAGGCGCGCGACACTACGGAGCAATAATTCAGAATTTATTGCGCAATAACCGCAGTCGCGTTAAAATACGGTGAAACGGAAATAAATGCGAAAAAAAAGTTATTTCTTCCGCTCGACGTGTCCAATTTCTTTTTGTTTTTTTCAATGCAACCTGGGATTAAGAATATATTATATTACTCATATCAGTCATTGAAAATTGGATATACATAAACATTTCTCTTTTCTGTATAAAAACATATGATATATATGTGTACGATATAATTGAACAACAACAAATCCTTATTTTAACATCACTTCTTTATAATTTATCCACTTTATTTTATTTATTACTTTTGTCCTTTAAACTTTTATCTCTCTCTCTCTCTCTGAACAATAACTTTGCCACCATTTTGAATATTTAAAGTATACGTATGCAAAATTGCGATTTGTATGTGTGTATGTGTGTGTCATTATTTTTCAATTATCTTTCCCTTCACTAAAGATAGAGCAGCATCATGTATTCCTATATTAGCACGGTTTAAAATACTTCCAACAGCAGTAGAATGACGTCGAAAGGACGTATTATTGACGTTAGAGACGTCATTGGTGCGTCATTAATACGTCATTTCACGTCATCATGTTCGTTAGGCTTGTACTTTAAAGTGAAATAACTTTTGACTCTTAATGAAGTTGTTTGTGATCACTTTTAGATGCAACATAAATTAATCTTCAATTTTCTCAAGAATTTTTCATGATTTTTTAGATAAGAGCATCCTTAACGGATCTCTTTCGTGTTGGGCCGATTTCTTCTTCTTTCCTCTCAATAGAAACCAAATTTCTCCTTCGCGTTCTTGTCTATTCTGTCTATTCGCACGCGAGATGTCGAAACAATACGCTCGCGACACGCGCTACAAACGACGAATCACGTCGCGACAGCTCCGGACAACACAACGACGAGACCAACAACAACACAACGACAACACCGAGCACACGGCCGATTTCGCACCGATGATGAGAGATTAAAAGCCGATAAATCGGTCACTATTACACGTCACTTCCACCCGCAAGCAGTGACCTCTCGAACCACAGAGCCGACACGTGCAGATTGACCTACATGCGTCGCGAGAGAGGCTCTCGACGAGCACCCTCTTTCTCTATCTCTCTCTCTTCCTCGTGCGCGCGCGCGCGCGCGTTCAGGATTATAGCGGAAAAGATCTTCTCCGACCATCCTCTCGGTTGATTAAGTGCGCTTCAATTAAAGTCGTTAAACACATGTGCATGTCTCCCGTAATAGTTACAGTCACCGAACTGAGCACGGTATAAGGTGAAAGTACTTGGAGAATACTTCCTAAAGAAGAATTCACACCGTGGCAAAAAAGCAGAAAAGCAGAAGCCAATCAGAACTCGCGGTGGTAGCCAGATAGTAATCGAGAGCTTCCGTTTTTCTACCAGAGAGTTCTGATCTAGAGAGTTTCTTCCCTTCTGCCTTTCTGCTTTTCTGCTAAGGTGTGAATTCTCCCTAACTCTGGACATTCTTATTATCTTCATTTTTAAACACGAATGTTTAAACTTACGTATCTAGACATTGGTACTTTCACTTTAAGACGCGACTAACTCAAGGAGACAAAGGAGCGCGCGAAAGCGCAATCGAGCTGTTATTCTTCGCTTTTTTTATACGCGACATCTTCGACCACCCAAGAAAGGTCATAGTTGAGTTAATCCGCCCGTCGTCATAGACTACGCCTAGACTGTCCACCATCTTCCGTTCACACGAGTACTCGCGTCGATACAATCGACGTCATCATTCGGCCTCCTCCCGTCGGTTTGCACTACCTATATTTTATTATTTTTTCTTTTTTCCAATCCTGTTAGTTGCTTTTCGTATTTCTACCTTCTAATTATATCGTAACCTCCTCCGGCTTCCAATTATAGCGGTCTGTAATTCATCCGTACTGGAGTGCATGGTCTCGCACGTCAAAGTGACGCGCAACGAATCGAGATACGTCGTAGTACACCCCGAGAAAAGGACTTTTCAAAATTTCGAAATAACAATTTCTCAGACAACTAATCGTTGTGATTGACTGTGCCAATGTGATAAAAACAACCTTTCTGTATGTTTTCACACACACATACACACATGCAACTATTCTGTAAACTATATATTTTCCTTTACAATAACGTACATAGCTTAGTAAATTATTTGTTACAACTAAGTTGAATAATAACTAATAGTTATTGCTATAACTATATAATAACTATATATTATTATTGTTATAACTATATAATAACTAATAGTTTTCGTAACCACTCACTTTTGATAGCAATGTGTGTAACTATAAAATAGTTTATTAAACTATATGCACGTTAATTCTACACACAAAACTCGTATAGTCGTCACTTATATGTGAATGCCATCACCGTGTTTTTTTCTTTGAATGTAGAAGGAAAAGAATGACGCGCTGAAATTTTCTTGTCGAGGGGAGAAGCGACACGCGGATCTCGTCCGATTAATGGTGCGGCGATATTTAAACAAATTAATGCTGACCGGCCGTATTATTACGCCTCGGGTCATCCGGGAGCGAAAGAAATGAGAGGGAGAGAAGAGAAGACGGGTGGGAGAAGACGCATAGAGACATGTAATTTACCGCGGAGCTATATAATTCCGCCCCCATATATCTCCAAGATTACGGCCGAGACCGCAATCGCGTGACCTTATCGACACACCACGGCCGATCGCTTGAATTTCCGCCGCGTCGTCCGAGGAAAGGCGATATCTATAATAAGCGACTCACGACCGCGAATCTGCACGCTCGATTACGCTTACTCCAGCCGCCGCAGCGAAATAAACGGCCAGGCTGTCGAGAAAACGACGCGGACGGTGGGATGAGAATACGCACGACGAGCGACTTCGCGCAGGAATCGCGACACATCGGTCGAATCGTTCGCGATGCTTACCCAAATCTTTTTTAATCGGACTTACAAGGGACAAATATATTGTATTGAATCAATTATCGAATGTACATCATGCAATAATGTGAATTTTTTGTTGTATTGACGCAGCTGCAAAGCTACTAAAAGCTAAGCTCAGATTTTTATACCACATTTCGCACGACATATTGTTTCAAACATATTGTTTCAATAATTTTTCTCGTCTACTCCAGAATCGTCCCTTCTCTCCAAGTTTTGTCCAAGGGAAATGCGTTTTCCAATAGGAGAACGCTCCCATCGGACCAAACAGATGAGTTTTCAAGCTCATTCCAAAGATTACGAGCAGCTTCTTTGTTCGCGACTGTACCTGTCTGTCCGATTAGACAAAAGCGCGAGAAGGAAAATCGTCCGAGATTGCGGGATTCCGCAAAAAGACAGGAGGGATGGAGAAAAGCGCAACAAAATCGGAACCATTTACACGATATGCGAACGAACGTTTGCTTTTCGCGATGGTTCAAAATGTTTGCTTCGTTGAGATCCGCGAACATGAATTGAAACGAGCAGCTTTCGTGATCACACGATCGACATATCTCTAATTTATTAATCAAAAGGAATTCTCACAACGGCTGCAGTTACACGTCGGTGTTTCCCGGGATATAACGGTGATCAATGATAAGCTTTTATTTGATGAAATGTAGAATAAAAGGAATATTGCATTTGAATAATGTTTTAAAATGAATGACTACTTTTGCTCTTTGTTTTACGTCCCAATGTCAATTAATTCAATTGGTACACATTTATCCTTTATCCACTAGAATGGTCACGTCTAATAAATTTCATGCTGGTGGATATTTCTTTCAGTATTTTTCTCTTCTCTCTCTCTCTCTCTCTCTCTCTCTCTCTCTCTCTCTCTCTCTCTCTCTATCTCTTTCCACACGTTCCGGTGTTTCGTATTTCGTGAATATATCACGTCTTTCCTCCGCGCGAATGCGCTTTCACCCTTTATCCACCAATTTGATTCGATTCGCGGAAATAACTTTTCGTAACAGTTAGGTGTGTTTGCTCTTTCACTCGTCAATCAGCCTCGCATTTACAGATGGTACGAATTTTAATATTTCCGCCGACGTGTTCTCCCGCAAAGAATATTCCGATATTTTTCTATTAGTAATCGAATTTTTTTATCACAACGGGCGTACAATATATCTCTCATTTTTCACACTGAGCTCGTCAATTCCCGAGAGTGTTTTAATCTTCAATGTATCCCACACGCGTTCGAAATGGCGAATGTTTCATTTCCGTCGTGCTTTCACACGATTTTTAATTATTCTCCAATTTGGCTTTTATTTATTTTTCCCTGCTTGTCTTTGCGAGCAGGAGGAGCGACGAATCCACCTACCGTGCGAATCGGACGGATTAATTTCACTTAAAGAGATGTGTCAAAGTGTGCGCTCCGTAGTAAATATTACGTTTGCACGGCTATATACAAAGCTTATCGCGAGACAAACTTTGTCGCCGTTAGTAAAAGGCAAACGAGTTATATGTTTCTGCTTCTATACCAGCTTGTTTTTATAAAAATTTCTTTTTCTATTTCGTGGTAAAATATGTTACTCTGTTGTTCCAAAAATTCCCGAAAGGGCATGCACGGCGACATGCCAAACTATTATTCGACGTACAATGTGACCTTTTCGAATAATCGCGAGATCGACCCACGCATTGCACCGATGCAAATTTGCGTGTCATATTTTATAAATGCCGCTTTAGTAACGCTGAATATATACTTGCAGTGCTCTCGTCCTTCTTTCTCTTTCTTTCTACAAGAGATCTTTAATCATTAACTGCGGAGGCAGCTAAGTATGCCGCACTAGTTATCTCCCGTTATATATATATGTTTTTTTATATATATATATGTTATTTATTTATTTAATTAACGGAAAATTCCCCTTAATATTAAGGAGAGAAGCGAAAATTTGTAAAATTGCACAATAATAACATAATTTATGCCGCAGATAATTTAGAAAGTCTAAATAAGGCCTGTATGTACACAAACACGAACTAATCCTAGATAATGTTGAAGAGAAAAATATAAACATAGAGAGGGAAAGAGAAAGAAAATATTACACAATCAAATACGCAAATAACAACATATATACTTCGAACGCGCAAGTATTATAGAAATAGTGTGTTTACGTATTGAATATAAAATTACAAATTAAATATCGATAATTATATGACGCTTAATCGATGCAACAAATACTGAAAAATAATCGCATGAGCTAGTAGAATAGCAGGAGAAACTGCATATCCGCGTTATGAAGTCAATATTCATCAAATTAAGCAAGAGCAGATAAGGGAGACTCAGGCAGGCGTTAAAGTTAATATTTTGACTATTGTGGTGCTGTTTTCAATGAACTGACTGACGAACCTCACACCAAGTTGCAAAAGACTTTTAATACTACTGTCTGCTTTGTGCACAAACTAAGATATAACGAGTGTATTACACCCTTCCATCTAAAAGAGGATTTGCAGTCGGCGAAGCATAGGCATCTTCTGCAGATTGGGTGTCTTCTTTACGTCATTCTGCAGAATCAAACACCTTCCTATATGACAATCTTTCTTGCTGCTCTTTCATCTTCCATTAGGACGACTCGTATTTCGACTCTTAAGTTGATTACACCGACTTGTCGCGTACCGAAATCTATGAGAAGTCCTTCACTGTTGCTGCATCTTATCTTTGGAATTCTTTTCCTAACGCAATCATTGAAACTTCCTCCTTTCATCATATCAGGACTTGTTGTGATGAGAATCGCGAAATGCTTATACTCCTGTTTGGCGTGGCAAGTCTTTGTAGTTTACCCTAGCGAGATTAATTTTTACTGTAATATACTTATTGCGCTTTTCAATATTATTGTTATTAAATCAAGTTAATCTATGATAAAGTATTAAGTTTGACTTTTTTCAACGATCTTCTCGATCTCAATCTCTTATTGCGACTTATCTGGCCACTGTATTATAAACACGTTTGTTTACCCAAAAGTGACAAATTTTGTGAAGATCGAATTTCGTTACACTTTTGGTAAGATAAAAGTTTCACTCGTGTTACCAGACAACGGAAGCAAAAGGAATGAAGGTAAAAACGTAACAACGCAGTTAAAAACATTTGGTATGTGAACATATATTTAGCAATTTGATCGCGACGCGGGAATTTTCCTACAATTTCAGCCATGCGACGTGTGGTCGATGGGAGTGACGCTGTACTCGCTGGTGACCGGCAGACTACCCTGGAACGGCTCCGGCAGCATCGGCAGCGTGTACGCGGCCGCTCGCTCGGAGAACCTCAAGTTCCCGGAGAAGCCGGCCGTGTCGGATGACCTACGCGATCTGATTACGCGAATGTTGATGAAGGAACCGGCCGACAGGATTACTCTGCCGCAGATCAAGGAGCACGCGTGGCTGACCAATCGAGGAGCCGAACCACTGCCGAGCGAGGCTGACAATTGCCGCGTTCCGGTCACCGTCACCGACGAAGAGGTCGAGCGGGTTGTCACGAGGGTGCCGAAACTCGACACCCTGATCCTCATCAAGACTATGCTGAAGCAGCATAGCTTTCAGGTGAGCAGGAAGCGTGCGCGAATGAGACATATTTCACTGGACGAAATTCTGGACGAAATGAAAGAGGTAAATCAGAAATATCATGCAGTTTGGTGTAAAACAATGAAGAGAAGTAAAATCTTATTTCGCGGAAAATATTCGAGGAAAATATCGCACAAAGCTCGGAAATGTGACAAAAACTATGTTCCGTATAATCGCATAATATTTCTGAAATTTATAAAACGCCCGCGCGCGAAGCAAAATTCCTAAGATATTTTCACCAAGAATTCGTTCCTCTTTTCTCGTTGGATGCGTGCATGAGCATCGCCGGCGATGCTTCTACGATAACAAGTCGACACGAGGCGACCGAATCTCCCACGAGGATTCGAAGGCAGTCGATTCGTTTGAATATCAGCTGTTGGCCGTTCCGCGAAACGAAACGGCTCGCGCACTCGTCCGGAAGCGAAAGATATGCTGATACCATATTTGCCATCGCGATACAGCGTAGAAGTCAGATCACGTAGACGTGAACGCTTCCGCAACGGTGCACTCCCACGTACATCCGCTTAACCGGCGTAAACAACACGAAACCTACGCTGCGATAGTTTGGACGAAAAAAGAGGCGATAACAAAATTTCACGGCTCTAAATTAACTCGACTACGCGCTATTTTAAAGATTTGAACGGATATTTCGGCCGAGACTGTTTTATACGAGCTTTTTTCTCGGCCTATTTTCACAAGCAAAGCGGAAAGAGAGAAAAATTTTACAACTATAAGTTTTCCCGATTAAGTGCTATTTTAAGGATTTCAACAAAAATCACAGCTGAGCTTCATACGATACTTTTCATACGATATTCTTTCCTTCCTGCTAAGAAAATAACATACTCTTTATGAAATGGCTACCTAGTCCAAACATTGAATGTTTTTTTAGTAATATTATTATGTATGACTCTTGAATTATTCAATCAAAAGATAAATCGATTGAGAAGGGCTAGGATCGCCGATATTACTGTGTAATTTTCGTCAAATTCTCTCGGGGAAGGTAAAGTTAAAACGAGAATATGCAACTTTTACTCGCTAAACATTCCCCATATCTCGCCTATTTACTTTGTCGAAATTATCTTTCATTTATCTTAATTAAAATTACGCGTAAATATTCGTATCTTTGATAAGTAAACCTACCCAAAAGGTATGCTCCGATTTCTTCCTAATTTGGCACAAATGTAGAAGCACAAAAAATATTTAGGTCATATTTTGATCCACTTTGAATTTCACGGGCAGTTTATAATTTTTTATTGTTCTCTGTTCTATCATCAAGTACAACAAAAATGCATAAGAAATAAAATTGAATATAAGATATAGTGAAATAATTTTAACAAAATCGGCATAGCTGAAACACGAATCATTCTAAATTCGAGTCATTCTTTAGCCGAGATTCCAACCAAAATATTTTTAATCTATGCTAAATTAGTCCAAAATGGTTCGAATCTCGGCCAAATCGAAATCCGGCAATTTTAATTAAAATGTTAACAAAAACAGTATAGCTGAGACACGAACCATTCTAAATTTCTTTAGCTGAGATCTCAACCAAAATATTTCAAATCTGTGCTAAATTAATAAAAAATGGTTCGAATCTCGGCCAAATCGAAATCCGGCAATTTTAATTAAAATGTTAACAAAAACAGTATAGCTGAGACACGAACCATTCTAAATTTCTTTAGCTGAGATCTCAACCAAAATATTTCAAATCTGTGCTAAATTAATAAAAAATGGTTCGAATCTCGGCTAAACCGAGAAATTATTTGTATAAATAATTTTTTCAACTTTTTATGTTTTATTTAAATTATTACATGTTTTGTTTAAATTATTTGCATAAATTATTTTTTTCAACGTTTTACATGTTTGTTATTTTATTATTTATACAAATTTTACACATTTGACTTCATATTCATAATCAGCAAACTAAAAACGCCTATATCTTGTATTCAATTTTATTTCTTATACATTTTTGTTGCACTTGTTGATAGAAGTGAGAACATTAAAAAGCTATAAACTGCTCGTGAAACTCAAAGTGGGCCAAAATGAAAAAATATGACCTAAATATTTTTTATACTTCTACATTTGTGTCAAATTAGAAACAAATCGATGTGTAACTTTTGGGTAGGTTTACTTGCGAATTCCATAGGCCAATTTATCGCGCTCGAATGTTTTTGAAGTTGTATCGCTTTTCTCGCATGAGTGCGACATCCATTATGGCCACGCAAGTACCTATCCGCTTTCGATCATAAAAATTGCAAAAAACGAACGGCGTCATTTCGCGCGTTTATCGCTTACGCTCTCTCTGAGAATATCAAAATAATTACCACGACCACACAGTTAACTGACAAATATCGAGTAGAGCGAGCGCTTGAACGCGGTTTACACCGGATATGTATCACTAAATTATGTACTATACCGATGCGTACGCATTTTAAATGCGATTCCACTTATCTGGGTGTCACAACGATGCTCAATTATATGAAACGGTACCGACGGGAATATCTCGTTAAGCGATGTGAGCCTGGAGTGCACCGGAGATCTCTCTACAGTCGAGTTCCGTTGGCCTTTCCGAAAGTTACGACCTCGACCTCACGACCTCATGAGATGATAGAACGCGACAATTTTTTTCTTTCATTTAAAAAGATTCTCGTGAAGAAACTCTCTCCACTGTTTGTGTTTAATTTCGCGACTCCCCAAAACGATTACAAGAGAACCTAGAGCACAATGGGGATTGTGCTCCAGCGTGATAGTTGAAAAAAAAGAAAGTTATTGTCTTCTTAAAAACATCACTTGACCTAATCATGTTTTCTATACGAGATAAAATGCGATACCTTACGAAACTTGCTTACTTCCCAATCATTAATTTTCAAAATTTCTTAAAAGTATTAAGTACTTATTAAGACATACAATGCGCGTTTAATTAATTATAACTATTTATCGACAACACTTTTCTTAAAAACGATACATTTTTTTCTTATTAAAATATTAGTGACAATCAATATTTGACATGGTGATTTTTGGTATCAATTCCCTGTAACATATAGCATATATATATATATATATATATATATATATATATATATATATATATATATAT